GCGTAATCTGCATAGTATACTTCTCACTAATGCCCTTGGAATGACAAGAATCCATTTCATTTCCGCCAACTAATTTTTAATTTCAGCAATACACTGTACTCTCCTGGCTTGGGTTACAGGCAATCTATAAAAAGTAATTCCCCAAATTCAATACAGTGGGGAAGACAATGGGAAATAAACCTACTATTTCCCAAATAGGTCAAGATATTGTACAGATAATAAAGAGGTATATGGAGAGCTATGATGGCCTATATCCTGAACAGACATGGCATTAAAATATATATATATATATATATATATATATATATATATATATATATATATATCTGGATTTAAAGCCATGAAAAAACAATTGAAACCACTGCAATATATTTCCAAATATGTCCGGACTATATACACTTAATAATGAACATGAATGTGTGGGGGTCTTCAGGTTAACCTTGATGTCTAGACATCAACCTTAACTTTAAGGATAAAATGTTGAACTTTACCATAAAGAGCGAAACTCCATACTACATTAATATCGGCTCTAACAACCCCAATACAATCCTAAGACAAATACTCATTACCGTTTGCACCAGAATTAGTAAAATATCGTCAAATGAAAAATTCCCTAATAAAAATTTAAAAAAAACATATGAAAAGGGTCTTCAGAAAAGTGGTTTCAAAAATAAGCTGTCTTACGCAACCCCTATAGGTAATAACGACACATAAAATGTGGGATGTAGGTGAAAAATTAGGGAAAGAAAAATCACTAGCGTCAACTCCCCCTTCTTCTGCAAACTTTCAACTATCATCATCGGACTGTACTTCCTAAAATTAATTACTAAACATTTCCACAACAAATCCTCTAAATAAGATATTCAACAAGAAACCAATAAAAAAAAAACTAGCTACTCCTGCACTAATAATATATACTAATTCCTATAACAATTAAATTTTAATTAAATTCCATAGGAAAAAAAAGGACTAAATCTAGCATGGAAGCCCCCAAACCCCTGTAATTGTAGAATTAAGAGTAACTGCCCAGTAGAGAGCAAATGCTGATCCATTAGGGTAGTATAGGAAGAAATCATTAACCTTAAAGACAATATGGCAAATCATAATATTTACATCGGCATCTCCGCAGGAGAATTTAAACCGAGAATCAATACAGAGAGGTACTCACTTACCAATCCGACATTAAAACACCAAATAGTACTTGCAAAAAAAAAAAAATTGGGAATTGAAGCAAAAGGATCTGAATCCCCAAATAAGTTGGAAATTTTAGTTGGCATAGCTTGAGAGATAGTTGCACGCTCTGTTTGGAGGACAAAATAATAAAATACAAAAATCAATGCAAACTATTAAATGAACGCAAAGAGCTAATTAAGAAATGCAGATATAGGAACAGCTTCAAAATTACATAAGAATATATGTATATGTGGGGGGTGCGTATGGTTATTTATGTATGTGTAAACGCACAAACACGTGTATGTGGATATATGTATGTGTATATGTTTTGGATAGCTTGATCTATTCTACTAGGTGTCCCAGTATTATCCACAAATTAGGAATCTATCATTCAACTAATTTACCTAAATTTAAATGGTTTGAATGTTAAATCATCTATAACTTATAACCCTTATGGCATAGATACTATTTGCTGTAAATTCTAGGAAAATATACTTGTTGCTAGCATACGGAGCTCCCCGGAGTGGCAACCAAAATTTAGCCACAGAGAAGGAAATGATCTAGCCATAAATAAACTCCAACCCCAAACCACATAACCCCCTAATTAGTAATACCCTCATTTATTACAAGAGGTTATTGAATAAATTAAAATAAAAATGTGATTTCCAATCAAATTTCACACCAGTTGTAAACTAGAAAAATATGTAATTTAACCTATCACATATGTTTACTTCATCTGAAGGAAGCTTCTCTTATATGACCTAATTTTGTGAGGTTTCTGAGTGCATTCACGCATAAGGCTTCAGCAGTAATTCAATGTCATATGGACGTTCCATCGGTCTTTACCGCTCCTCCATAAAATCGATATCTTTGTGGAAACCTTCTCCCAGTGGTTCGCTTATATCACCAATGTTTTCCGGGTATCTGTCTAAATGGATAAACAGGTGGTGGATTTTGATACTCATTCTTGTTTCAAGTGCTCGGAAGTTTTTAGCATCACTGTTTAGTTCCTTGTAGCAACCATCACTCCTTTTCACCTGCTACAAAAGAAGTCAACGCAACAGCCTTAATGTTAGTCATGTGTGAAACAAATTTCCATCGTTAAGCATTTTTTTTATTTGTGACCCATCGAAAATTCCTGCTTTCAATTTCTCATTACTCAAACCAGGAAATTCTAAGAAGATATCTGAATCATGCGCCATCTTGATCTAATGTTTTGACAAATGATTTCATTAGTCCTAACTTGATATGTAGAGAAGTCAGGATGATTCGATCACGGTTAACCAACGTTTCATTTATGGCATTTTTCGTCCTCACTACAAGCTCTTAAAGAATAGACTAAACCTTCTTTTTCCAGTGCTGATCATTGGCTCTATAATACAAAAGAAACATGGGTACTTGGCAAAACCACCATTGCTGCCATAACAAAAAGTTAACCATTTTAAAATCCACACATAGCATCCACTTATGTTCATTAAATTTTACAGATTTTGTAGAATATAATCTTTACACTCATGTAGTGTTCCTTCAAGATCACTAAATGGTCAATTGGGATAAAAGAGAACTTGCCATTGTTTTGCAACAATACGAATTAAAGTAACATTTAGAACTATCAATACATAAACACCACACAGCTGGATTGAACTTAGGCAGTGTCATTGCTAAAAGAAGGCACAAGGACAATTATCTCGTCTCTGTTACGGTTAAATGATATCTTAGCTACAGAGTCAAGAAAACGATGTTGACTGAAATGGGGGAAAAGGGGGCGTATGGTAAGGATGCGTCTTCACACCCGACCTGTTCACCTATACAGCGAGGCAATCCTGAGAAAATTGGAAACCTCAACGGGGACCAATCTATTTAAAAAAATTAAAGTAATTGCCTAAAATATTCAATTAAAATGATTAATTCTTTATTAGAAAATTTATTAAAAAAACTTATATATGTTTTTGTTTTTTAATAGGTGGGGGATAATTGGATAATTAATTTAATTGGGGTGATAATGGGAGGCCAGTTACTCAGAACAACACAACAGCACAACTACGCTTATAAAATATTAAATCGTTTATATTATATTCGTTGTGTGAGCGGCTCAGTCGTATCTGCAACACGTTGACACATCAGTTTCCGTACGATTACCGAAGTTAAACACCGTCGAAGCTGGACAGTACCTGTATGGGTGACTGCTTGGAAATACCAATCTTTTATATTTTTTTGTTTTTTTGTTTTTAATCATTTCACCCCAAGCAAGTCAATAAAGACACTAAGACGCAAGGGTTTACTGAGTGTTAGTGAGTATAAGAAGAAAAAAAAACAATAAGGAAATCGAAGAATAAAAGGACAATAAATAAAGAACAGAAAATAGCAATTGATATTGCATTTAAGTTTCTGTAGATTAAATTTGATTGGAATGCAAAAAGCCGGAAGAGCGTTCCACAAGTGAGAAGTGCGGTAGAAATAACTGTTAGAATTTAGCCATTTCAAATGTATAACGATGAGATCTATCTATCTACCTATCTATCTATCTAACAATAATAAATAAAATAAAATTTTCACTCACACAACAGAAATATGTGTTGGTATCAAGTCGCAAAAGGAGTAGGTTTGATCTCCACAAAATTTAGAATATGGACAGATACGTAAACATTTAATTTCATTTGTTACTATTTTCCTTCTATCTCTTAGACTTATGGCCACATCTCGTTGAAATATCAATTTCTGTACGATCACCGAAGTTAAGCAGTCGATCCTGGTCATTATCTAGATGGTTGATGGGATGAAAATATCAGATGCTATAATATTGTATGTGAGGCTGGTGTAATGAATAATGGCACGAAAGTTGTAATCGGAGAGCCGAGTTTCAATTTCACTTGTGTTCGTTATATTTACTTACGTGCAAACACTTTTAGGAAAGGCATGAATCCACCTCTTCGACCTTAGTTATGTGTTAATTAATAAAATGTTATCGCTAAATTATTATCGCTAAAATATTTTCTGGATTTTAAGGACCTGCAAAAGATTGATAAACCGTAAGAAAAACAAATCAATTAATCAATCGATATTTCCTATGACGTATCTGTCTTCAACCATTTTATGTTTCATTAATTTTTAAATGCCACGTCACATTTTCAAGAGCGCCAAACATTGCAGAAAGTAAAATTAGATATGCGAAGAACGACTCAAAAGTAGAATATAACAGTGGAATTTTATTTTTCAAATTGAATGATTTAATTCTTACGCAATAAGATTCCCGACGTTATTTTTAGTTTTGCATTAAACACAAGGTTATACATAAAAATATGGAGTTTACTTACTCCTGCTTCTTTAATTAGTACTTATCATATATTTGAAGTGTTCTTTATAATTACTTCTTAAACGTTTTAAAATTTTTTCCAAGTTGTTTCAAACGTTCAAAATTAGTAACACTTTTCGTATATTTCATTAAAAAGATCATTTTATGCTATTTATTAAAATACATTTTGATATAATAAATTAATGCCGTCGCTCGGGACATAAACTGATTTTTTGTGAAATGTTTCATGTGTTATCGTCGTCATATATTTTCAAGTTATTTTCTTGAAACCCAACTAGACTTTATTTGTCTTTGTTTTCGTTGGTTATTGTATATGAAATAAGCGAAAAAGAAAGGGAAATTAATATATGTAAATCGTTTTTGCTTGAGATAATGTTTTTTACTGATACAAGTCTGATTAATTAACTCATTGCTGGCTGAATAGGTAGATACCTTACCCGAGGGTATTTACTCAAGTGAATTCGATTTCCAATTACAAGCTCTTATCTATCACACCAACCTTTCATCCCAGCTTATAGCAACTGATATTCTCGAGCGGTCACCCATAAAGGTACTGACTAGGCTCAGCGTTGCTTAACTTTGGTGATCATATGAGAACCGGTGTTGCAAAGTGATATGGCGCTAAAGTAACAATATTTCCTATAAAATCTAGGTTAATTTATTAAAATATATGGCACGTTCGGCGGAGGAGGGGGTATATTCAATAAAAAATTGTAAATTGCTCTTTTCACTGGAAATTATTCATTATATCTTATCCAAGTATTTAACAAAAACTTAAAGCCAAATGCATAATATTTCACGCTCAATTTAGGTTTATAGTTACATTATTGTTAATTATTTCACTATAATTAATATAGTGAAATCATTAACGTCTTTTATCAAAAGTATTTTATTTTTGGTCGTACAGTGTAACCCGGATATAAGAGACCCGGATATAAGAGAAACCTGGATATAAGAGAGATTTTCTCTGGTTCCAAATTAGAGCCTGTGTTAATGTATATAAAATAGACCAAACCTGGATATAAGAGAAACCCGGATATAAGAGACTTCTTCTCCGGTCCCGACAACTCTCTTATATCCGGGTTGCACTGTATATTAATTTAAAAAATTTCTTTTTACAAGCTTTATTTTTTCAAATGAAATAAGTGCATTCTAAATGTCAGAATTTCGGTATTGCCCGTCAAAATGACTGGAAGGAAGCGATCTAAAAACAACAATGGAAAAGAAAGGTAACAAAGCTTAAACGAAATAGATCTCGTTCGTCCAACTTAGGATATTTAGCATTGCAGCCAAAGGATTCTTTAAAGCTGCCAATAACAAAGGAGAAAATGAAAAATGCCTAATCGAATATAGCATAAAAATTGATATTATATTTATTTGTTATGAAAGTAAATACAAAATTGCCAACAATGTTTTCCTTAAAAGTTGATATTTCCTGTAATAAATTCTTAATAAATATTATTATTGCTAATATTTTAATTAAAAGAAATACTGATGAAAACTGCCTAAACCTTTAAGCACGTATTCCCGCAAAATTATGAAATATTGAATATGCTCTTCTTCCGCTGAATACGTCATATATTGTATACTGTTAAATAAAAATGTAAGTTATCTAGACAAGCGCATACTTATAATATCATTTCCTTTCAGTATGTAGGCGATCAGTTCTCTCCAATATATATATATTTTTTTATTGCCATATATTCTTGGAAAAAGTGACAAAGGTTTTCTCCATTGCCTTCTACGTGATTTTGCATCGGTAGTTTTCATTATTTCATACAGTTGCAGACAAAGGCTTCAACATTAGATGAAAGTGGATAAATAGGATGTGTTCATGCTTTTCAATATGAGGTTTCCTGCGAAAGAGAAAGAGAACAGACAAGGCTGTTATATGAACTTGACTCTTCAATTCCACTCTTAGCACCAACAACCGATTCAATAAGTGCACAATCTTCTTTTGCTATATACTGTGTCACTTCAGCGCGTTGGCGATCATGGCGCTCCATATTTTCTGTCATTTGTTTCTTTTAAAAAAAAAGATTGGTCTTTTTGTTGCTCTTGCCTTCAGTCTGTCGTATGAGTATCAAATTTTCCAAGCCATCTTTCCTCATTACGTGACTTAGACATTTTCACTGTCTCTTCCTAATGTTTTTGCATATTTGCTAAATTGTTAGTTTGTGTGGACGAAAGCCGTGTTAAACCAATCAAAAAACCCGATAAAATTATTCAAAGCAATAATAAAAATAATATTGTACATTTCTCTATTAAACATTATTATTAAACATTTGTAATGAGATCACTTGAAACGAACTGAGTTACATATCTTTGACGCCTAGTCACGGAAAAATATTGTTTTTTTTTTTTTTTGTCTTTTGTTAGTCATTGTTACTTGCATTAATTTGAGCAAACTACTGATAACCCAGGAGTATAATGTACTTCAGCTTCGTATATATAAATGGATGGTTTCATTTATTATATAGTAAAGCGTGCAGCAGAAATATCTCACATGATCTGTTAAGACATTAATAGCAATGCTTTATTCATCTAGCTCTTGTCTTACCACTTATTAGGGGTATTTCTAACAAACGCCCATATATATTCTAACTTAATAACGATGTATTTTTTCCTATTCATGTAAATCGTTCTCCTATTCTTTTTTTTTATTCTATTCTTTTTTCTTCTTTTCTTTGTACTTATGACGTGTTGTCTTTTAATTTTTATATTTCGCTTTCTTATTCTCTTTACCTTTTATTGTCTTCTTATCCTCTTCACTTTGCTTTCCTGTTTTCTTTTTCTTGTTGTTGTTGTTGTTTTTGTTCTTCTTTTTTTGCGTTTTATAGAAACCCTTTATATATCTAGTTTTCTTTTATGGTATTTAACATTATGTCACTTTAAAAAAATACGAATAATGAGAAAATGAAAGTGATGTTTCATGAGTAGCATTTTTAAATAGAATCGTTTATAACCATCTTTGTTCCTCACATGAGTACTTGTTCGTCTGTATGTAAGATCTTTATAATAAATAATATTTATATGTGCGTGTGTATTTATATATATATATATATATATATATATATATATATATATATATATACACACATGTATATTTGTATATGTGATTATATATATATATATGTGCGTTTGTGTGTGTGAATATATATAACAGCCAAGATAATTTACGTAGACTTTTCAGTTAAACTGATGAATATATATGGGCGTCTGTTGAATTTTAAAATTTTGAAAACTAACACCAGTTTGCTTCTATTTATTTCCATTCTTTTGATTATAAATACTTGCTGCAACATAAAATCCTAACATTTACTTTGACAAAATCTTTTAAAGGACAAAACACGTCAGCAAAGTTAAGTTTCCCTTTTGTCTATACACACATACATACATATATATATTTCTAAAATATAAAGAATGTTAGATAATAATAATAGATGAATTAAAATGTGAAAAATTTAGTAAAAGGAGAAAATACGACAGTAAAGTTAAAATTTTGGAAAAAGGTCAAAAGAAAAAATTAACGAAAATGTATAAAAGAAGAATGCCCGATAGAGAAAGAAAGCGAAAACAGAGAAATATCTGGAAAAGTTGGATATTAAATGCAATAATTTAGCAGGAGAGCCGAAGTTGGAAAAGTCATAGTTCAATTGATGCATCAGAGTTTTAAAATTAAAAAAAGAAAAACTCATGTTAAACTCTTTGCAATTTGCTTACAAATTGCAGTCAAATATATTCCAAAAATAGAAGAGCGTCTGACTTTCCATTCTGTCATTTAAAACTTTTATATAACATCTTATTTTTGCTCCATTCTCATTATATTTTCCCCACTAGATTAAATTGCCTTACTTACTAAGTCACTTACGTAAGTAAGCAATACATAAACAATAAACAAAATAACAGCTATTTCGCCGCGTATACATTTTTTTTAAATCACTGCATTTTTTGCTATTTGTCTTCGCCAAAAGGCGCCAAGAGTTAAAGTAGTTAGGATCCTGGGAATATATTCTTTTCTAAAGGAAGACATAATATTAAAACTTTCTTGGTGGGTTCTTTTCTCTTTAATAAACAATGGTTTGTATGAATTTGCTTCTATTTATTTTCATTCGCTATTGTGGAACTGTGGTTTGTCTTTTGTTTGGATCTTTGTTTTCTTCTAAATAGTCCTTACTTTTCTGAAATGCAACAATTACATTTTTTTTTCGAAAATAATGATCTGAAATCATTAATATTTAATCTTATTGTAATACAACCATATAATAATCGTTTATTTTGCACGAAAAGAAGTGTATTTAATTATTCGACGAAGAGAGAAATCGATCCCACTGTTCTGAAAGAGAAAATATGGTCCTAAGCTTTTGGAAAAAAACGAGTTATATCGAGGCGTGTAGTTATTTACTAGAGATTGTTTAACTATTAGTTGTTCAAAAGATTATATATTTAAATTTTTTTTTTAAAAATCAAAGATTATTTATTACTTGTTAGGCAATGTTAAATTTTAGGATACATTTATCCAGGAATCCATACTTTAGGTTCACGTAAATGGAACAAACTGCGTGATCCAGATGTAATAGGGACATTTTCCCAGCTGCATTTTATGAACAGTAACTTTTATATACCATGAAGATAATTAATTGTATATAATTAAGGCGAAGTTTTATTAATGTTCCGTTGCCATATGGTTAAATCGATTTCAAACCAAATACTAATTTATATATCTGATAAACCTGGAAGTATCTCTATTAACAATTGTCCATATGAGAGCCACTCCTTCTTTCTACGACTTCAGACGTTTACAGCTAGAAAGCGCCATTCTATGTTTACGAAATCGAGTCATTCACATTTGCAACATGTCACAATAACAGGGAGCTTGCGGCCATATCCCGTTGAAACACCATTTCTCTTATAGGATCACCAAATTAACCAATTTCGGCACTGGTTTGGTAATACCAGTTGTTGCAAACTTTGATGTATGTGTTGGGTGATGGATAAGCGCTCGGAATTTGAAATCGCACAGTGTGGGATTTTAATCTATTCTCTGTTTTTTCTTTCTATGTAAAATACATAAAATTGTTTTATAAACAATCTTATTCGACCTTTATGATTATGATTATCACAGTCAGAAGTGATTCAATGTTGTCAATATTATCGCCATTTCTATTTGCCTACTCCCATAACCTTTTGACAAGACTAACCTGCCTTTCCCAAGATTAAAGAAAAAAGTCAGTGAGTAATGGCATGTTTTTGTTTCAGATTCCCTGTCTATTTATAAAACTTTTTGTTTTTCAGAAAATATACGCAAGGTAGCAAGCAATCATAAAAAACACATGAAGAATTCATAATGATTAGTTCCTGGCAGAAATATAGTCAAGATAAACACTGAAAATGATCTTCCTTATTACCAAAAACATCAACATTTTGAGACACCTAATGAGGCTAAAATTTTAAAATTTTAAAAATAGAAAACACTGTTGCAATACAAAGTTCCTTCAAGTAAAATTTCTTCACTCTAATTAAAACCGAGGTGTTAAATAATGAAAGAGAAAAAAGAACGTTTATGAATATGGATATAGTAGAACATAAGGGAATTAGGAAGAGAGTAACGCGTATTGT